ATCACTGCCTAATGCATTCCACCTGTTAACTACTCTGACACTGAAAAAGTTCTTTCTAACGTCCCTGTGGCTCATTTGGGTACTCAGTTTCCACCTGTGTCCCCTTGTTCGCGTCCCACCCGTGTTAAACAGTTTATCTTTAAATACAACAGTTTAGTTCATCGAAACCTCTTTACCGATTGCGTTGAAATTTTGACTCTACGTTACATTCGAATAGGTGCGTGTTTTTATTTACCTATTATATACATGCCTCACCCTTGACAGGATAAAACGTTTATTTTTTTTAAACAGCGCCATCTGTTGGACGTAAGAGCAACACATGCTGTAATCTCCGAAAGTTCTTCACCGCTTGCGTTGAATTGAAACACAACGTTTCATTCGAATACGCGCGTGTTTTTATATACCTACTATATAGATGCCACACCTGTGACCAGTAATATTTTTTTTTTAAACAGTGCCATCTGTTGCACGTAATAGCAACACACACACGCTACACTAAACATGTTACGATTCCATTTAAATGTTTCCGATTTCATTGATAAATTGAATTTTCATAGATTTCGATTTATTTTCATTTTGATTTAATTATTTTGTATGACATTGCATTGGAATTGAGCTGTGTTGTTTACTATACCGTTCATTTCGTGAGTATAGTTTATTTTTGTATTTTTTCATTGTTTTTCATTTCGTTTTTTTAACTGTTTTTCTTAGCACTGTTTTCTTTTCTGTTTTTATAACACTGTTGGTGTCTTGACCTGTTGTATAACACTGTTGGTCACTTGACCTGTTGTATAACACTGTTGGTCACTTGACCTGTTGTATAACACTGTTGGTCACTTGACCTGTTGTATAACACTGTTGGTCACTTGACCTGTTGTATAACACTGTTGGTCACTTGACCTGTTGTATAACACTGTTGGTCACTTGACCTGTTGTATAACACTGTTGGTCACTTGACCTGTTGTATAACACTGTTGGTCACTTGACCTGTTGTATAACACTGTTGGTCACTTGACCTGTTGTATAACACTGTTGGTCACTTGACCTGTTGTATAACACTGTTGGTCACTTGACCTGTTGTATAACACTGTTGGTCACTTGACCTGTTGTATAACACTGTTGGTCACTTGACCTGTTGTATAACACTGTTGGTCACTTGACCTGTTGTATAACACTGTTGGTCACTTGACCTGTTGTACAACACTGTTGGTCACTTGACCTGTTGTACAACACTGTTGGTCACTTGACCTGTTGTATAACAATGTATGCCATACACACCGCTCTATACACGTGTATGCGAAGGCTGAAGAAGCCTCCAGACAGCTCTTGGGCCCAGACCACCTCCATAAGAACGAGAAGGAGAGACTTCACCGTGGTTGTCTCGCCCTTAATGACTTTAATTAAGCAAATTCTTCTGCTGGCGGTACCCGACATTAGCGAAATGGGGGATTACACTCAGAGACTGTCCAATTCTGATTACATAACTGACTTGGGAGAGTCGACGTAATAGGTGTTCGAAAACTGGCGTAATTCTCAGTGTAGGATGTTAAGATGTGTTATATCCTCAGCTTACTCAGCATTTATCACAGCCTTAGCTTATATTCAGCGTTCTTCACATTCTCAGCTTATTCAACACTCATCACAGTCTAAGCTTATCCAACATTCATCACAACCAAAGCATACTCAACACTCATCACAGTTTGAGCTCCCGGTCTTGTGAGTCGAAGCGGGGAATAAAGAAAGTGAACACGATAATTAGATCTCCTTGGATCTTCGTGTGTTAATGGGCTCCATTACACTCACTATTTTTCTTGCCTGGCTGCCATAATACGCAGGCGGATGGGAGAAAGGTCGAGGGCTCATCTGAATAACAAAGATGAGTGATTAAAAGCGTAATCTCGGAGCATCGTCTTATCCAATCTTAAGAGGCTCTGTCGGCGGCTTCAGGAATCTCAACTTACTTTGTTCTTCATTTTAAACTTTCCGCCATAATGTGTAGGTTGTGGTTTGATGGTGTCTACCGTCCTCCTGTGGTGCATGCTGGCAGTCTAGAGACTCACAAATGGCTGGAATATTTGGGAATATGATAACGACATGGAAGATTCTCAGAATAATTAGGGGTCTCGTAGTAAAGTTTGCTGCAATCTCGATTCTCTATTGGGGATGCTGGGTTCGATTCCCCGGGTGGGATAGAAATAGTTGGGAACCGTTTCCATTCACCTAATGCCGCTGTTCACCTGGTAGAACACAGGTGTACCTGGGAGCTACGCAACTGTTGTGGGTTGCATCCTGGGTAGGATACAACCCACAACACCTTCCACCTTCGGGGGAGGGGTGGGGAGTAGGCCTCGATACAAGCATAATGTATATGTATGTGTGTAGTGTATATGTATGTATGAAGCTACTGTCTCTCGCTACTGGGGTCGGTGGTTTGAGGCTCCTAGTGCACAAGTGAATGATGTTGTTACCCTCATTTATTGTGGATGACATATATATTATATATATATATATATATATATATATATATATATATATATATATATATATATATATATATATATATATATATATATATATACATATGACAGTGTCAGACATTGGACAGTCTCTGAGTGTAATCCCCCATTTCGCTAATGTCGGGTACCGCCAGCAGAAGAATTTGCTTAATTAAAGTCATTAAGGGCGAGACAACCACGGTGAAGTCTCTCCTTCTCGTTCTTATGGAGGTGGTCTGGGCCCAAGAGCTATCTGGAGGCCTTCGCATACACGTGTATAGGGCGGTGTTTATGGCATACATTGTTATACAACAGGTCAAGGGACCATCAGTGTTATACAGTGGAGAGGTGAGGGGTAGAGAGGCTGGGAGTCGCAAGGTGAGGGGGGTGTGTGTGTGTGTGTGTGTGTGTGTGTGTGTGTGTGTGTGTGTGTGTGTGTGTGTGTGTGTGTGTGTGTGTGTGTGTGTGTGTATTTCACCTAGTTGTATTCACCTAGTTGTATTCACCTAGTTGTGTTTGCGGGGGTTGAGCTTTGCTCTTTCGGCCCGCCTCTCAACTGTCAATCAACTGTTTACTAACTACTTTTTTTCCACACCACACACACACCAGGAAGCAGCATGTAACAGCTGACTAACTCCTAGGTACCTATTTACTGCTAGATGACAGAGCCATTCAGGTTGAAAGAAACTTTGCCCATTTGATTCTGCCTGGTGCGGGAATCGAACCCGTGCCACAGAATTACGAGTCTTGCGTGCTATCCACCAGGCTACCAGGCCCCTAATATCTGTGTGTGTGTGTGTGTGTGTGTGTGTGTGTGTGTGTGTGTGTGTGTGTGTGTGTGTGTGTGTGTGTGTGTGTGTGTGTGTGTGTGTGTCTACCTCACCAGCCAGCATGATATGAGACAAGAATTATGCATGTACCTAACTTGAATTAATGATGGTTGTTAGCACAAAAACTAGTCGTCTGCTGTATAACAACAGTCATTTTTAATAGAATGTTTGACAGGAAACTGACACACAGATTACATTATAAATTAAAACATGAATTTTGCATTTGCCCCAAAATGACCAAGCATGATAAAAAAATCTCTCTCTCTCTCTCTCTCTCTCTCTCTCTCTCTCTCTCTCTCTCTCTCTCTCTCTCTCTCTCTCTCTCTCTCTCTCTCTCTCTCTCTCTCTCTCTCTCACACATACACACAAACACACTCTCAGCCGGCCGGCCGAGCGGACAGCACGTTGGGCATATGATATTGTGGTCCCGGGTTCGATCCCGGGCGCCGACGAGAAACATTGGGCAAAGTTTCTTTCACCCTATGCCCCTGTTACCTAGCAGTAAAAAGGTACCTGGGAGTTAGTCAGCTGTCACCAGCTGCTGACTAACATTTTTCACATTTGAGAGGCGATCACAACTAGATGAGTATATACACACATACACACACACACATTACATAAAATTTTAAAAAGATACAAAACTAAGAAACGTATTTCCTCACGAAATAAATTGCACACACACACAGGCTGCAACATGACACACAGAGCTATATATTTTAGTTGAGAAAGTGAGTAAGAGATGCAGTGATTTTCAAACTTAAAACTTAACCATTTTCCCAGTTCAGAACCAGGTAAATTAATACCTTGTGGAACTGTATATAAGGATAATTTTGGTGGTGCAAAGTATAGTCTACTGCAACAGAATTTTAATCCATTTCCAATCTTCTTAAAAAGACAATATTGAAAAAAGATCATTCCATCCTGCTTTGACTCGAACTTTATTAAAGAACCTTTAAAGAGAAAGATAATCTACTTTTAAAGATGGAATACTTTGAGCCTATGTTTGGTTGTATCACAGTGGTTCCCCAGCCTGGTGGTTGTATCACAGTGGTTCCCCAGCCTGGTGGTTGTATTACAGTGGTTCCCCAGCCTGGTGGTTGTATCACAATGGTTCCCTAGTCTGGTGGTTGTATGACAGTGGTTCCCCAGCCTGGTGGTTGTATCACAGTGGTTCCCCAGCCTGGTGCTATAGCTTGCCCGGAGCCAAGATTCATCAAATATTTCACAACTATTTACGAAACGAATACATCTTTCCTCAATAATGTCTGCTTTGTATACATTTATTAAAGTAGTGTATGGGTTCTGAAGCGCCACCGAGAGTGTTGATAACAAAAATAACCTAGAGGTTGTGATCTTTCCAAGCTCGTAAAATGCTTTATTCATAAATCCCACCGCCATCATTAAGGAAAGATGAAGAGGTTTCGTAAATGGTTGCGTTAAAGCTTGACGAATTCTGGCGCTGTTTCGCGTGCTGTGTTTTAAGCCCCAGACGCACTTGGTCCAGATGTAGTGCTAAGTGGAAGCTGTTCGTCTCGGCCGCACTTGAAAAACTTGTTGTTTTAAGCGCAGACCTGCCGCGTTGTTATTGTCGAGAGTGACAGTTGTGTTGTGTGTTGTTACAGTGTTGTGGAAGGCTTGGTGTTGTTGTGGATGGCTTGGTGTTGTAGTGAATGGCTTAGTGTTGTTGTGGATGGCTTTGTGTTGTTGTGGATGGCTTGGTGTTGTTGTGAATGGCTTGGTGTTGTTGTGGATGGCTTGGTGTTGTTGTGGATGGCTTGGTGTTGTTGTGAATGGCTTGGTGTTGTTGTGGATGGCTTGGTGTTGTTGTGGATGGCTTGGTGTTCTTGTGGATGGCTCGGTGTTCTTGTGAATGGCTTGGTGTTGTTGTGGAAGGCTTGGTGTTGTTGTGGAAGGCTTGGCTTGGTGTTTTGTGGAAGGCTTGGTGTTGTTGTGGATGGCTTGGTGTTGTTGTGGATGGCTTGGTGTTGTTGTGGATGGCTTGGTGTTGTTGTGAATGGCTTGGTGTTGTTGTGGATGGCTTGGTGTTGTTGTGGATGGCTTGGTGTTGTTGTGAATGGCTTGGTGTTGTTGTGGATGGCTTGGTGTTGTTGTGAATGGCTTGGTGTTGTTGTGGATGGCTTGGTGTTGTTGTGGATGGCTTGGTGTTGTTGTGGATGGCTTGGTGTTGTTGTGGATGGCTTGGTGTTGTTGTGAATGGCTTGGTGTTGTTGTGGAAGGCTTGGTGTTGTTGTGGAAGGCTTGGTGTTTTGTGGAAGGCTTGGTGTTGTTGTGGAAGGCTTGGTGTTGTTGTGGATGGCTTGGTATTGTTGTGGAAGGCTTCGTGTTGTTGTGGAAGGCTTGGTGTTTTGTGGAAGGCTTTGTGTTGTTGTGGAAGGCTTGGTGTTGTTGTGGATGGCTTGGTGTTGTTGTGGAAGGCTTGGTGTTGTTGTGGAAGGCTTGGTGTTGTTGTGGATGGCTTGGTGTTTTGTGGAAGGCTTGGTGTTGTTGTGGAAGGCTTGGCTTGGTGTTGTTGTGGTCGTATGCTCTCATGTTTGGATGTTAAATTACTTAGTATTGTACTATACGTGGTTGTTCAATTGTTTAGTTTGTCCAATGATTGACCAGTGAAATATTTAGTACTAGTGGTGTGGGGGAATGGCCGGCTGCGCCCGGGTGTCTCCCCCACCTCCCCTCTCTCCCAATCTCCTCTCTCACTCATGTCTCATTCCCTCTCTCCACGTTTATCTCCCAACTTCGCTTCCCCCTGTCTCTCTCTCTTCCCTCTCTCAACCCCCGTCATCTTCTCTGCTTCACTCTCCACACTCTCTCTCTCTCAATCCCCCCCACTTTCCACCTTTCTCCCCCTCCTCTCCACAACAATCTCCTCTCTTTCCCGTCTTTCACCTCTGCCCCCCTCCGCTCCTCTCTTCCCTACATTTTCTTTCTTTGTGTTTCTTAGAAAAATCGTGTAATAAACAAAAATTACTAAACAATTCTAAGGATAACACAGCCAATATTTTAGAATTGATTTCATGAAAATTGCACAGGAGGAGGTTGGGTTAGATACCGATATTTCTTAAAGTGTGGCACTGGAGCCAACCCCGAATAGTCTATGGCACTCCCATACCCCACATGTTTCATTTGCAAAATCTGGGTAAGGCATAGCCCCGAGAATCTCCAACTTTGTAATGACAGATAACCAAACAGACAAAGAAACAGATATAAATTTAATGTTTACACTTTTATTTTAGATTATTTACATACTAGCATTCTATTAAACCATTATGGGGTTGTTTCTAATCTAGTTTTGTATTAAACTATATTTGTCGTATTATACATTGTATCTGCTGTGGTACGGTTGGCAAAACACTTTTTGCCAACCGGTAAAAAAGTAAAAAGAAAAAATGAAAAAATGGAAGAAACGCACAATTTCAAATTAGTGATCAAAATATTGAAATGTCACCAATTGTTATTTTATTAACAGCTGGCCTCAGAATGGCATATAACATACATGTTTCTAGGACAAAATATTGTTTTAGAGTATAGTTTGCTGTGGAACATTTTTTCAGTGTGACCATCCAAGTATGTGTCACATTTATACGTGGGAGATTTGTGGCTCCAAGCATTATGGCTTTATGACTAAACGACATCTGGGATGTTATAGAACTAAGAACTTTGCACGAGATGTTTGGGGCTGGTGAGAGTTCGTCAGAAACTGATTTTTTTTTATCAGGTCTCAAAGTTGAAATTCCTGTTTTGGTGATAATGGAGGTAGAGGTTGTCGACTATTGAATATTGTAGTTCTAATTAATTAATTTTCTTGTATATTTTGGTAAACGTTGTTTGACATTCGTACTCGAATGTGTGAGTGTTGTGGGTCGGTGTATGATGGAGTGAAGTTATGAAAGGGTAACCCCCGTAAAACAGAATATGGGGATACCACCGCCACCGTTAAGTTAGGTTAGGTAGGGTAGGTTAGGTTTGGTCATATATCTACGTTAGTTTAAACTCAAAATAAAAAAAAGTAATTCATACATAATGAAATGGATAGCTTTATAATTTCATAAAAAAATATTAGAAAAGCATTCAGCATCCATGCTCACATACTTTCCAGCATCCATGCTCACATACTTTCCAATATCCGTGCTCACATACTTTCCAGCATCCACGCTCATATACTTACCAGTATCCATGCTCATATGCTTTCCAGTTTCATTAGTCAAATGTTGTCCAGTATATATGGTTAATGTTTTACAATGTCTTTGGTCAAAATGCTTTCCAGAATCCACCGTCAAAGGCTTTCCAGGTCCAATAACCGTATTAAGCCTTTTGTTACTGCAGCGAAGTCACTTCATTTGTTTTTGCGATTTGATTTCGGGACAGTTATATATATTTTTCCGCTTTCTATAGCCAGATACATTTTCCAGGAGATTGGACTGCAGTTCAAAGTTTAATTGTTTTGTCAGTCATGCTGATGTAAGCTTAATGAGGTATGCGAGAGTCCGCCAGAGACGGAAGTATTCACAGCAGCTTAGTGGTGTCCTCAGTGGCCTAGGGGTGTCCTCAGTGGCCTGGTGGTGTCCTCAGTGATATGGAGGTGTTCTCAGTGGTCTGGTGGTGTCCTCAGTGATCTGGAGGTGTTCTCAGTGGTCTGGTGGTGTCTTCAGTGGTCTGGAAGTGTTCTTAGTGGTCTGGAGGTGTTCTCAGTGGTCCATAGGTGTCCTCAGTGGTTTAGAGGTGTCCTCAGTTTTCTAGAGGTGTTCTTAGTGTTTATTTCGTTTTTTCCTTTGGGTCATTGCTACCTGAAAAGGTAGCAATGCCTCGACAATCCACAGTGCTGGTTCCTCTTTATATCCCATGAAGCCTCGTGTGAGAGATTCACAGCCGGCACCCACAAGCAGAGTAAACGAAGCTCCGAAGGAAGGCATGATCGTACAGCAGGAACAGGGAAGAAGCAGTAGTGAGGCAACAATATCCCCTGTGACCAACTTTTGGGGAGAAAGGAACAGTGAGGATAATGAGAAAATCCTCTGGGGCTGCGAGGTGGCGCGAACCTGGGACCAAAGCATTGCCAACAGCATACTTTACCACTGTACCATCACCGATATGTTAAGACACGTAGCCTAAGCTACTCTATATATTTCATTATCTCAATAAACATATTTGACCTTGACCTGCCTTGACCGCGAGGAACGTTGACCGGCGCTAATCTGAAGTACAAAACATTGACAAGCTTCTAAGCAGACGTGCACTTAACCACCTTCTTGCCCCTGACCCCTTTCACCTCATACGTCATCGTTTCGTAATGAAAGTGACCCATCCGTTAAAAATGCGACGTGTTAATGACAAGTAAAGCAACGTAATATTGACGTTTTCGACGAATCGGTCTCGGTAGGTTAGATGGGTTCACCGGGTTATAGGACGTTTCTGGTCAGGCAAAACGGTTGTGGTTTTTAAGCATCTCGGGAGAACGAGATGCTGACTCAGTTGATGTGATTATTAAGAGCTGACCAAGCTCATCAAGAGCTGACCAAGCTCATCAAGAGCTGACCAAGCTCATCAAGAGCTGACCAAGCTCATCAAGAGCTGACCAGCTCATCAAGAGCTGACCAAGCTCATCAAGAGCTGACCAAGTTCATCAAGAGCTGACCAAGTTCATCAAGAGCTGACCAAGCTCATCAAGAGCTGACCAAGCTCATCAAGAGCTGACCAAGCTCGTTAAGAACTGACCAAACTCATCAAGAGCTGACCCAAGCTCATTAAGAGTTGACCTAGCTCATTAGGAGCTGACCAAGCTTAAGATTATTAAGAGCTGACCATGGTTAAGATTGGAAAGAACTGACTAAGCTTAAGAGTGGTAATAGCTGACTAAAGTTATGATTAGTAAGCGCTGACCAAGATTAAGATTGGTAATAGCTGACCAAGGCTATGATTAGTAAGCGCTGACCAAGCTTAAGATTGGTAATAGCTGACCAAAGCTATGATTAGTATGCGCTGACCAAGCTTAAGATTGGTAATAGCTGACCAAAGCTATGATTAGTATGCGCTGACCAAGCTTAAGATTGGTAATAGCTGACTAAAGCTATGATTAGTAAGCGCTGACAAAGCTGAAGATTAGTCTCACATCTTTCTATTTAAGATGATTTAACCAGCTTTAACTTTAACGTGATTCTGACTACTCAGAAGTGTTCAAACGTCCTGCTCCTCCTCTTCCCCCCTCCACATCCTCACCCCCATCACCACATCCCCCCTCTTTCCCCCCTCCACCTCCTCAACTCCACCTCTTTACCCCTCCATCACCACCCCCTACACCACCTCCACCTCGTTCACTGTTGTTGAAAGTCGTCTGCTAAACAGATAGAGGAGTTAAAAGACCTAAATAATCACTCCTCGTGAAGACCAATTCTAATTGAGTGTGCCCATTACTCCCCCACTTCCTGTCCACCACTCTTCTGAACATAACCAATTTTTCACTTCAACAAATTAAGTTATCCTATGTTCGCCTCAGACCTTATCGCCCAATTATAACTTGTGCTGTGTGCTGTCCTAAGTTGCCTGCGATATTTATCACTAAGTTAAGAATGGCTGACTATTAACAGATGATTCAAATACACTAAGAGCATTTTATTTAGAGCTGTAGGTAAAGTAATTATGAGGAGAGACCGACCTCTGACACTCTGACAAATACCTCTGTCATAGGTCAAATACCTATAACCAAATACCTCTGATACAGTGGTCTACTAAACACTTATTATTTCCGAAGGAGTAATATGGAATTATTTGTCTTTTATGGCAAAATGGGTAAATTTGGACGCCCTATGACTATCCCACAACAGCCACATGTTACCCTGCAAAGTCTGGCAAGATTAACCCTAAACACCTGACAACTTGTATCGAACAGACAGAGAGACAGACACTGCTCCTGATGAAACAGTCAACAGTCTGTCCAAGGTTTCACACTCTGGTACATCAGAGTGTGAAACCGTGAAATCAAGGGCCGTTTTCCCTTGAGCGGTTCCCAAGATTAAGTCGTTAAAGGCTTTATAGGAGTCAACATCACCAGCCCCTTGACGACCATCACTACGCGAAATGAGATCGCGCGGTGGTGATCACGTGGGAATACCTCACCACTGTGGAGGGAGGAATACCTCACCACTGTGGAGGGAGGAATACCTCACCACTGTGGAGGGAGGAATGCCTCACCACTGTGGAGGGAGGAATACCTCACCACTGTGGAGGGAGGAATACCTCACCACTGTGGAGGGAGGAATACCTCACCACTGTGGAGGGAGGAATACCTCACCACTGTGGAGGGAGGAATACCTCACCACTGTGGAGGGAGGAATACCCCACCACTGTGGAGGGAGGAATACCTCACCACTGTGGAGGGAGGAATACCTCACCACTGTGGAGGGAGGAATACCTCACCACTGTGGAGGGAGGAATACCTCACCACTGTGGAGGGAGGAATACCCCACCACTGTGGAGGGAGGAATACCTCACCATTGTGGAGGGAGGAATACCTCACCACTGTGGAGGGAGGAATACCCCACCACTGTGGAGGGAGAAATACCTCACCACTGTGGAGGGAGGAATACCTCACCACTGTGGAGGGAGGAATACCTCACCACTGTGGAGGGAGGAATACCCCACCACTGTGGAGGGAGGAATACCTCACCACTGTGGAGGGAGGAATACCCCACCACTGTGGAGGGAGGAATACCTCACCACTGTGGAGGGAGGAATACCTCACCACTGTGGAGGGAGGAATACCTCACCACTGTGGAGGGAGGAATACCTCACCACTGTGGTATGCCAGATAAAACATGACATGCTCACGACGCCTTGTCATGCCATCCCCCATCAACTTCTAATAGATGTCTTATTAGATCTATCATGATCATTTCAAACAAAGTTTGGAACTTTTTATCGTTGAATTGGTTTCGGATCTTCAGATCCAACGAATTCTTAAATGGCTCTCAATTTATCAATCAATTCAGTTGATCCTAATCCATCACTTAGTCAGAACCGCCCATCTTCATAAAATGAAAATACTTGAAGTAACAATGTGGTCGATCATACAAATATGGACGTGATCGACCAATAACAAGTAGACTATTGTATTATTGAGCTTGGACAAACCAGAAAGGTTCTCTATGTATGTTGCTAATGAAACCAAATCTCACCGCCTTAGGCCAAATAAACACTGAGGTCCAATACAGTAAGAATATATGCTACACTAGGCCTAGAAATGTTTAAATTTGGATTTAGCTTTTTTCCCCAGACTGTATAATGAATAGTAACACATTCTACTCTCAATTTGTCCATCACATCAATATTTGTACGACCGTCAATATAGTAACAAATAGTACTATCTTATCAAGAGGATGGGTTGTTGTGACTGGCACTAAATGTCAAATCGTTTACACACTGATCTATCATCATAAATCTTAGATTCTTCTTCTTATGCTGCATCTCTAAGAATTTATCTTCCCTCTCGTGTACTAACATAAAAACGTCGAATTTAACTGATCTTTCCTGGCTGCTCATCTTTCTCACCATCCTCACTGAAGGTTTACATTTTCGTCCCATTTTCCATCGTGTTTTAACTGTAATCTTACCCCCTAACCTGCGGGTACCGCTGTTTGACAGTCCTTACCCAACCCTGAAGCTAGGCCCAGTCTTTATCAGTCTTTATCGCCAGGTTCTCCATTGTTCACTGACTTATACATGTCGCCCGACACCCTCACCTGTCACCACACCCACCAGCACCAGTCACCACTGCTCGCCTCAACACCCTCACTTGTCACCACACCCTCCAGCACCAGTCACCACTGCTCGCCTCAACACCCTCACCTGTCACTACACCCACCAGCACCAGTCACCACTGCTCGCCTCAACACCCTCACCTGTCACCACACCCTCCAGCACCAGTCACCTCTGCTCGCCTCAACACCCTCACCTGTCACCACACCCTCCAGCACCAGTCACCACTGCTCGCCTCAACACCCTCACTTGTCACCACACCCTCCAGCACCAGTCACCACTGCTCGCCTCAACACCCTCACTTGTCACTACACCCACCAGCAGCACCAGTCACCTCTGCTCTCCTCAACACCCTCACCTGTCACCACACCCACCAGCACCAGTCACCACTGCTCGCCTCAACACCCTCACTTGTCACTACACCCAC